GAGGTGTCGGCGAGGCGCGGGGCGCAGGTCGGGAGAGCGCGGCGTGGCGACGGCTGTGGTTCCACAGCTGTCCGGAGGCGCAGAGCAGCTCAGGGAACCCAGCAGGCCGCCCCACGGGTCTGCCATGCCGCGGGCGGGCCTGCAGCAGCCCGATGTGAGGCCTCACAGATGATGGCGATGAAGACGGAGGGTATGGTGAGGTCTGAGGGGATGTCTGAGGCGGAGCGGGCCAGGTAGAAAGCGGAGAGGCGGTACATGCCAGACGCGCGCTCCTTCAGCATCATCTTCTGCTCTGTAGCAGGGGGGAGGCGAGCGGGCAGGCAGGGCAGGCCCGCGCAGGATGTCAGGCTACTGGTGGGGCACGGTGTTAGGAGCGGCGGGCAAACACAAAGGCGGCAGCGTAGCAATGCAGGCAGACAGGGAGGCTCACCGTTTGGCCAGGTGAACAGCGCTGCACTTGGTCCACGTGCAGGGGGGAGGCGGGAGGTGGGAGGTGCAAGTCAGTTAGCTGGGTTGATTTGCATGCGGCAGCGCAGCTGGCGCGCAACTAAACAGGCTGAGCATGTGCAGGCCGGCCTGCCCACCTTGGAACATTGTGCGGAAGGCCAGGAACAGCGCTGCATGTCGGAGGCGGCAGGCAGGGAGGGAGGCAGGCAGCTCGGCAGGGTCAGCACGGCATGCCCAGCACTTCTGGCAGAGCCACCCACACAAGCGCAGCGGTCCCCTGTACCTCCCATGCGCGCAATGCCCATGCATGCACTGCTGAGACGGCCGCGGCGCTCACCTTCGAAGAACAGCAGCCCCGTCGTGTTCTGCGCGCCGTACACCGTGTCGCTGTGCCCCACCTGCCACCAGATCATGCCGCACACGGCGGCCACGCAGAGGAACTGCGCCAGGTCCTGCTGGCTCAGCGTCTCAAAGCGCCGCACGCGCACCGCGCGGATGAACAGAGTGGTAAACTGCGGGTGTGTGTGGGGGGCACGCAGGAGGCACCAGGATGGGATGGGAGGGTGGGTGGGTGGGCGAGCATGTGGGAGGGTGGTGAGTGGGTGTGGGGTGGGAGGACGTCGGGGAGGCTGGCGGGGCCCGAGGCATGGCAGCGTGCTGGAGCTTGCGGGCGGGGCGAGCAGGCAGGCCGGCGCTGCGGTGGCAGGGCGGGAGAGGCTGGCTGGCGCCCACCTGTGTCCAGTAGGAGGCTCCCCAGCGGCTGGCGCCCGGCGCCGACGCCGCCAGCCCCGTCGCGCTGCGGTCCACGCCCGCCACCTTGCTGCTGTTGGCCCGTGCCAGCTGCACGCTGGCCGAGGCCGCGGGGCGCAGCCGCACCTCTACGAGCGAGGGCGCCTCCACGTCGCCGCCGCTGCTGCTGCGGCTGCTGCTGCTGCGGCTGGTGCTGGGCGCGCTGCCGCTGGCGCCGGCGCCGCCGTTGCCGGCGGCCATGCCCAGCGCGGCGGGCACGGCGATGTCGCCTCCCATGTACCCCTCGGGCTGCTGCTCGAGATACTGCTCAGACACAGTGATCAGGTGCTGCCGCGCCTCCTCACCAGTCCTGCGGCGCCGCCGGCAGACGGGGGGCAGGGAGGAAAGGGAGAGTCAGCCAAAACGCGCTGCTCCTGCTCAGCCACTCGGCAGCCGTGCCGGGGGCGAGCGCCGGCGCAGCAGCAGCCTGCTCGCCGCCAGGCCCGGCCACCCCACCACCACCAACAACACACACACTCACTTCTGCTTGCCGCTGACCTCCCCGCTGGCAAGGTCCAGTATCCAGTCAGCGATGTTGACGCCGTAGGGGCAGGCAAAGCCAAGCCGGTCAAACCAAGCAGCCGCCTCGGCGCCCTTGCCGTAAAAGATGGGGTGCCCCTGCAGCACAGGTGGCCAGGCGCAACAGGCGACCCACGCAACACAGTCACTGCCATGCTCTGCCGGTACCCCGCCCGTGCACAGAATAGGAAACCGGTTGCGGGGTCTTGCAGTGACCAGCTGTGCCAGCTTCCCCAGCCGGCCAGCCTGCGGCTGCCCCGCCCCAGGCCCCCCACCTGGCTCAGCAGCAGCACCGAGTCCAGCTGGCGGTAGATGTTGGAGGAGGGCTGGTGGATGGTGGTGATGACGGCGCGCCCGCTGGAGGCCAGCTTGCGAAGCAGCTCCACCATCTTGCGGGCTGCGGTAGCGGGAGGGTGGAGGAGTTGGAGCGGTGCGAGGCGAATTTGCATGGGGACATACGGGGGCTGGCTGGCTGGGCCCAGGGGCAGCGGCAGGCTGCGTTGGAGGGCGGGAGCCGGGGCCCGCGCTCCAGTTTGGCGCGCATGAGTGCCGGCGAGAGGCTGGGCACGCATGGTGCAACATGCAGCGCGGCGTGGCGGCGGCGGGGGAGGCTGCGGGCGGGGCATGCATGCACCTGCGCTGCTGTCCAGGCCGCTCGTGGGCTCATCCAGCAGCAGGATGGCGGGGTTGATGAGCAGCTCGTGTCCCACAGACACACGCTTGCGCTCGCCGCCTGCAGGCAGAGGGTCAAGCACGGGGGTGTGAAGGATGCTGCACGCCAGCGACGGCTGGCCAGCCGCCTGCGCCCCGCTGGCCTGGTGCCCGCCGACACGAGCCGCAGCGGCGGGCAGGGGAGCTCGATGCCTCGACCGCTGCGCACAGCTGGCGGCTGGGAGCACTCTGTCGCACGGCGCGCACCCGACACGCCTCGCCGCATGTGGTCGCCGATGATGGTGTCCCGGCACCGCCCCAGGCCAAGCGCCTTGATCACAGCATCCACTCGCTCCAGCTGCCGGGGAGGAAAGGCGGGCGGGCAGGCAGGGAGGAGGAAGAAAGCAAGGAGGAACAGTCGGTCAACAGCAGGGCCGGACACGGCATGGGAGTGATAGTGCCCCAAGAGGCAGCACCAGCAGCGGCGGCGGCAGTCCTCGCAGTCAGCATCCACCTTTTGCGCCTTGGTCTTGTGCTTGGGCAGGCGCAGCATGGCGGCAAAGTACTGCAGGCGGTCAGGGAGGCGTGCCAGGCAGGGGTGGAGGGCAAGGGGGCCGCCCAACCATTAGTGGTGGCGGCCCCAGGCCAGATGCGCGGCGTATGGCTGGCTGCAGAGGGGCGCCATGTGCGGCTGCTGGGCTGGCCAGCGGGCCGGCCCCCACTCACCAGCGTCTCTTGCACCGTCAGTGTGGAGTACAGCAGATCGTCCTGCAGCAGAGAAGGCAAACACAAGGGGTGTAGGGTGGCATAGTGTGTGGTATGAATCTTTGTGCCCGCTCACTTTGTGCCCGCTCAGGCAGCTGGTGCGGTCCCAAAAGCCACACCGGCCGCTTGCCTGCAGCACAAAGCCGATCTGCCGCTTCACGCGCTTGTTCAGCTTGCTGCCGTTGAAGGTTGCACGCCCGTCTTGCTTTGTGAGCTTGGGCGCACGGCCGCCTAGGATTGAGAGCAGCGTGGTCTGCAGGCACAGCACAGCACAGGGGGCGGGACAGGCCAGGATACCAGTCAGTGGCCTGGCCAGCAAGGGCACTTCAGCAGCTGCATGTCAGCTTGCAACGACCGGCCGTCTGAAACACCAGCCGAGAGCTGAGTCGTTTGTGTGTCGCACAGGCGCCACGCCACAGGACACCAGCAGGACGCAATCAGTACGGCACGTGGGGCGCCACGCAGGCGGCGCCACGGCCCACCTTGCCGCCACCAGAGGGGCCCATGAGGGCCAGCATCTCCCCTGGCTCGCAAGCTCCGCTGATGTTGAACAGCACCTGCACGGCAGGAGCAGGAGGAGCTGGTGGCGGCAGTGCGGGGACGTGCGGGGGGGGGACGGGTCGGGCAGGCCCGCCGGCGGATGCGGGGCTGCTCAGGGGCGCTGGGCATGCAGGGCGAGTTGCATGCAGATTCCGCTGATGTAATGGGGAAGGTAGAAGGATGATGCAATGGCCAGCAACTGCCGCCGGGGCTGGAGGTATCGTGCCGGACTTGGTCAGCCGCCGCCGAGTCCAGGGGTACGGACCAGCCAGCCAGCCCACCTGTCGCATTTCCTCCTTGCTCTGCTGGCCGCTGGCAGACTTGAGGCCCGCCATACGCTTCAGGCCGGCCGCTGACAGCGTCGTTGAGGGCGCCGGGGTGCTGGGCACCCAGCAGCAAATGGCCGAGAAGCGCACACACACTTCTGGCGGGGTCTCCCCCAGGACTCCATCCTCCTCCAACGTGTGGGCGTCGTAGGGAACGTCTATCGCCACCACAGCGTTCACCGCCGCCGCGGCAGGCATGTTGGCAGGTATAGGAGCCAGGAAAGTGCAGTGACTGGTTGGTTTGTGGCTGTTACAGGCCAGAAGAAGAGGGAAATGTGGTAAAGACCGAAGCTTGAGCCAAGGCTCATGTCACCATGTGCGCCGTGGTGCGCATTCCCGCCAGCTGGACTTCATGGACGCGCCGCAGCCACAGATGGGCTTCGGACACTTGGGGCAATCGAGCTCGTTGTCGGTGGCAAGGAGTCGGTGTTTTGGGTTCCGATCACTCCGCACATGTGACTGAGACATTGGCAGCGTAGCAGCCTCCTCTGGCGGGGAAAGGGGGCAGTCTGGATGCGGAGGAGCAGCCTGGAGCACGATGTTGAGGCGCCCTTGCTAGGAGGCGGCGGCGGCGGCGGCAGCGGCGGCGCCGACACGCCCTGCAGCCGCTGCCTGTCGCCAAACCGAGCGCTGTCTGATGGCGAGGAGGGGCGCCGCACACCGCGCATGAGTGCTACCCACGGCGGCTCCATCCGCCTCAAGCGGGCTGGCTCCTCCATGCCCCAGGTGGGCGCTGCCCATCTGGCCTTGCTTGCCTGCCTGCCAGTCCATGCATGCGGCTCTGCCTGGCCATGTGCATGGACTCAACCATGCAGATGCTCACTGGCTATTCAAACGGAGTGCGGTGCAGGAGGAGGCGGAGCAGCATGGCGGGCTGGTGCTCAAGGATGTTGAAGCGGAGGGTGATGTTCGGGAGCTGGAGGTAGAGGTGGTGGCCGGCGCGGTAGCCGAGGCTGTGGCCGAGGCAGTCCAGGTAATGCGAAGGTAGAGGTGGGGAATGAACCTCCGTAGGCCTCCCTGTGTCTAGCTCTAGGCCATGGCTGATTTGCCGTTCGCGCCAAGCGCAGTCTCTTGTTGTGTTTGTTGTGTGCAGGAAGCAGTTCAGGAGGCTGTTCACGACGCGGTGCAGCAGGCTATAGAGGAGAATGTCCAGTTTGATGTGCGCGCCAACTTCTACACGCTGGTGGCCGTCACAGGGGTGAGTCGGTGGGGCGGAGCATCCGCATCCGCCAGCAGCAGAGCAGTGAGGCTGTGTGAAGCAGCTAGAGCAGCAGAGGAGCTGCAGTCACGTGCCAGTACCCGCCTGCATGGGCCACTGCAGCACGCCGCTGCCACCTGCGCTTGTTGATGGCTGCATTGGGTTGCCAACGTGCTGCCCCACCCGCTTGCAGGTCATCCTGTTCTGGCGCGGCGTGTGGAACTCCTGGGACTCGCTATTTGGCACCGACCTGGCCAGCAACATCGGCAGCATGGTGGTGGGCCTGATCATCATGTGCATAATCCGAATCTTTAACCTGCCGCTGGTAGAGGGCCTGCCGGGCGGCTGACCGCAGGCCTCATAGCTAGCACGCCATTCTTATCTGTCCCGCCTGTCCCAAAATACTTAGTTACAAGATTCAACACATGAAACCCCAGAAAAATGAGCAAGCCCAATGGTAAAACAGTGAAGAGAAGTGCGCGGTGGGGGCACAAAATCGGCGGGAACAGGTTGAGGGCACACTGCCGATCACTCGACTCATGTGCGAGCGTGCCCAGGTCAGCTATGCGTGCTGGCATCATGCCTGCGGAATGCGTGAGGGGTCTGAAAATGGCATTTCTCGGGGACAGTAGGTGTACAGAGTTGACGGGAAGGGGAGGGGGCACGGAGCCGATAGGTGTTGTCAAAGTGCTAGGTGAGGGACGCGTGAAGGGTTCCAAGGGGACACACTACGCCGAAGTGCGCAAGGGGGGTATGTAGGCGGGCCGCGGGTGCTATCATGGGCCGGCTCTACACGCTAAACTACAACAAGGCGGCTGGCTCATAGAGCCAGCCTCAGGCGCATGCATGCACGCCTGTGGCCAGGCACAAGAGCATGCAGGCACGCCATGGGCCAGGCGTGCCGCAGGTGTGGCCTCCATGCGGCCAGCAGCATGCGCGGCAGGGAAGCAACCACTGCCTCAAGGAGCTACCAGAACTCTGCCAGCGGCAGCTTGAAGATGCGGAACAGCAGCATCACGCTGACCCCAATGACCACGCTCAGGACGTTGGCAGCCAGGTTCTCTGTGCCCAGCCAGCCGTCAAACAGGTTCCTGCGGCGAGGTGGTGAGGCGCATGAGAGTGAAGAGCTGCGCAGGACATACTGTGACACGAGTGGCAGCCAGCGGGGAGCGCCAGCAGATGCTCACCAGATGCCGCGCCAGTACAGGATGACTCCAGTGAGAGCAATCATGGTGTTGAACTGCAGGGCAGGGCGGCAGGGGGGATCGTGCGCGTCAGCCAAGGCACAGCGCACAGCTGGCGGCCGCCAACAAGGAAAACGCCGGATGCAGAGCAGGCAGGCGGGCAGGCGGGCATTGGGCCAGCACCTGCACTGCTGGCTGTGGCCTGTGCACGCGGAAACAGCAGCAGGAAAGCAGAGCAGGCGGCGGGGGCGCACGTTGGCCTTGATGTCAAAGCTGCAGTCCAGGAGCGCCGTCTCCACGGCGTCCTGCACCGTCTGGTTGACCTGCTCCAGCTCCTGCTCGAATGCTGCGTGCACCGCCTGGTTGATGCTTTCGATCTCGTGCTCCACCACGTGCTGCACGTACTGGTCGATCTCATCCTGGCTGGCCTGGGTGTTGCCGCCTCCAAAGCTGTACAGGTCGTCACCCGTGTCGAGCCCGCCGGTGGCAGCTGTGCAGGGCCCTGCCGCTGCTGTTGGCAGGGCCATACTTGGGAGTGGCACGCAGTTGTTGACCACATGGTCGAGGCTGCCCTCCAGCTCCGCGTTTGGGCTGCTGCTGCCGCTGTGGGCGCCCCCAGCGCCGCCACCGACACCAGCGAGCGCACGGGCTGAGCCGCTGCAGGTCACGCCCCCGCCCGTGCTCAGCGCCAACCCGCTGAAGTGCCATGCCAACGCTCCTGCCGCGTCCTGGGGCCCTCGGGCGCAGAGTGGATTCGGCCGCCAGGTGCGGCTGGGTTGACCCGCTCCAGACCGGCAGCTGGGCCGCTGCAGGCGCCAATGGGACGCGCAGAGCAGCCCACAGCCCGCCATGCACGGCAAGCTGCTCCCAATCTCAAACGTGTGGAAATCACCAAAGCAAGGGCACTAAGTACAAAGAGGAATGAGACGGCCGGGCTGTGGGGCGGAGGTGGGATGGCGAGGGCAGGGATAAGGGTGTGGCAGGCGGCGCCCAGGTGGCGGGGCACGGCATGCGCAGCAAGGCGGGAGCACTCATGGTGCACCTCAGGCCTGTCTTTGAGTCAATGCATCCCCTGCTGGAACTTTCCACTCCAGCTCTGGCTGCGCAACCGGAGAGCGTTGTGAGGGGCTCTCACATGTTTGGGCGCCCGAGGTGGCTGCGACAGGCCGACCTCGTGGCGGCACAATTACCGCCAGCGGGCCATGCAGGCAAAACAGGTGGGTGCCGCATCAAAGGATGCCGGCACAGAAACAGAATCAGATGCGTCAGGAGCGAGAAGGGAAAAAAGGCAAGTGATGTGAGGTGTGCTGAAAAGAAAGGAGCTCGTGAGTGGCCAGCAACAAGGGCAGCAAGAGAGTCAGCATGAAGTCTAGGTGTGTTGGTCCCAGTCTAAGTCAGCCCAGGGCCAGCAGCAGGCAGTTGTGCAAGTGGCTGGGCATGCCGGCTGCTGCTGTGCCCAAGGAGGCGTGGTTGCCGTGGTCGCGGGGTGCGCCAGGGCAATCGGGGAGCGCCGCCAGCTGAGCATCAGTGCCGGCCTCGCACCTTGAGCAGATTCTGCAGCACCGCCTCCTCCGTGATTTGCTGCAGGCACGGAATGAAGGCGGGGGGCAAGGTGGGCGGGTCGGCAACCTGCACCCGCGCTTGTGCAAGGCTACCAAGGCGGGGGCCGCGACTGTGCAGCAGCCAGCTGCACGCACAACTGAGTTCCAGTGCTCCGTCACCGCCCGCGTGATGTCCTCCTTGCTGCTGGTGGGGTGCACGCCCTGCACCTCATACTGCTTGGTGTACTTGCGCAGCGTCTGGACCTCTGCGGCGCCGGGGCAAGCGGGCGGGTGGGGAGCACCAGGCGGCGGTCAGCGGCTGCGGCATGAGCTTGTGTCACCACTGGTGCATGGCTGGGAGCGTGCTAATGGTGCCGGGTGGGCTTCAGGGGTGCGGCTGCGGCCGATGCAGCACTCTCGCCGCCCCTCGCCGCCGAAAGCCAGGGTGGAGGGTGAGTTGCGGACACTGACGAACCGCCCCGCTTGCCAGCCCCACGCCTTGCAACCAGCACCAGGAGGCCGGAAGCAGGCTGCATGGGCCGCATGGCCCCAGCCCGGCCATGCCAACCTTGAGTCAGCAGCCGGCGGCAGCTTGCTAGTGCAGCACTCTCACTTAGTTTGGCGAGGTCCACACGAGCGGCGGGCAGCTGGTTCTGTGCGTACTGCAGGAGGGGAGCCGGGAGGGTCATGTTTTCAGGCGCCCAGGCTCAGGAGGGCTGTGCGGGGTGGGGGGCGCCTCCGTCGCGCTGCTGTGGCTCTGTAGCCCACCGCCAGCTGGTTGGGGGCCTTCAGGGGCCCTGGGGCGGGAGGCCAGCCAGTCCACGTTGCGGGCGCCACCCGGGAAGCACCCACCTGATCGTCGCTCAACTCGTAGCCAAGGCCGTTGCCGTTCAGGAATTCGGTGGTATATTTGCTGGGGCCGCCAAATCCGCCGGCGGTGGCGCGCTGGGGCCGCCTGGAGGGGGCCTGCCTGGCCGCCATGTTTGGGGCTGCTGCGGGCTGCCGGGGGAGGCCTGAGCGGTCTGAAACCCACGCCTAGGTTTGGGACACCTCGAGGAGCAGCCCAGCAAGCTGCCTGGCTGCTTGACCGCGTTGGGGGCTGGGTGGGGGAGGCACAGGCGTTGAAGTAGGGTGTATGGAGTGGGAGCGGCCGGGGGGCGCCTGGCAGCACTCAGAGGAGGTGAAATGTGCATGTGATGGCGCTCGTAGGCCGCTTGGGGCTCTGTTTATACCCGGGGGCTGGCAGGTCCTGCTGCGTGCTGTGCTGCATGGGGCGTCGAGTCGGGGAGACCACTCCGACACATCCAAACCGTGCACACATCCGACACATCCGTGCTCCGATCGCGATGCTGGGCTTGGGGCGAGGGAGGCAGGTGGAAACGGGCCGCCCAGTGCCCACCCCCCGCTCCCGCTCTCGCCCTCTCCCCACTGCAGCCAGGGCCTCGCCCCACGCAAAGCGCCGCAGGAATGGGGGTCGCGCGATCCCGCCGGCTGCAGCCGGGTGGGGCAGAGAGCGAGCACAGCAGCGGCCGCCTGCGGTGGCCGCACCAGGCGCAGGCCGGCCCACCGCCTGGCTGGGCGGCTGGCGTCACGTCACACCAGTCGAGCACCCACCTCGGCAGCGCCGTGCTGGAGTGCTGCTGCATGTGGCGCTGCTATCGGCGGTGTGCCTGGCCGGCGTGCTAGTGGGCAGGGGCGGCGGCGGGCCGGGCGGCACGGCACGCGTGTCGGCGGGCCCCGCTGCTTTCAGCAGCCCCAGCAGCCGCAGCGCCATTGTCTCTGCTGCAGCCGCCGCCACCACTCTGGTTGCAGGCATCCCGGCGCCGGGCAGCGTGCGCCTGTCGGTGATCGCGCCGCTGCAGCAGCAGAGCCCGTTTGGGGCGAGCTGGCGTGAGGTGTTGGAGCACACGGCGCAGCGGCTAGCCTGGACGGATCCTGCCTTCCACCTGCTGCTCCACGACTCCGCCCCGCTGGCATCAGCAGCAGATGACAGCCAGGCCACGCTGCTGGCTGACCTGAAGAGCAGCCAGGCGGCTGTGGCCATTGGCGTCGCCGACGAGGCAGCCGCCGCAGCCCTGGCGTCGCTGCTGGCCGCCGTGCCCACCGCCGTCGCGCTGGGCTCGGCGCAGGCGCTGCAGCGCGCGGCGCGGCTGGACGGGCGCGCCCTGAGCAGTGGCGGGGACGCCGCCGGCGTGGCGGGCCTGCTGCGCCGCCTGTTCCCGGACAAGCAGGCGGCGGCGGATGAGCAGGTGGCCCACACCGTGGCTGAGCTGTACCAGCGCACCTCCTCCGACGACTTCCTCTTCATCTTCCTGGTGCGGCCTCCAGCAGCAGCGGCTGGGCAGGGGTGGAAAGGCTGCGGCTGGCTGTGTGGGCATGCAGGGCTGTGCTCGGGTGGCACGTGCGCTGGGCGGGTGTGCAGCATGGCTGTCTGCGGGCTGGACCGGCAGCCGCTTTCTCCCTCTGCAGCAATGTGTGTACCGCTGTACCGCAGGTACTGGCCAACTCGTACATCAAGGAGGTGCCGGCGGTGGCCATGAGCTTCAAGCAGAAGAATGCCGGTGTGGAGGAGCTCAAGGTGAGGGCTTTGGCTATGGCATGCCTTGTGAGCAAGGACCCTGGCAGGAGGGGTCGGCGCTGTGTCATAGGCACCTGGCAGCGCCATACTCGCCCTCGCACAACAGCCTGAGACAGCCCAGCATGGCCCCGCAGTCTCCGATGCCGTGCCCCACCCCACCCCTGCCGCCCCACTCCTGCCTGCAGTGCATGCTAGGCAAGTGCGGCGGCCAGATCTTCCGCTGCGTGACCGACGCGACCTGCAAGACGGCGCTGGACTGCCTGCAGGGCTGCGAATTCAACGACCAGGCAGGAGGGAGCGCAGGAGGGATGGTGTGGTGCTGGTGGTCAGGGGCGGCCCAGGAGGGCGCTGCAGCTGTCTGGCTTGCGCGGCTGGGACATGCTGCGACCTGCTCTGTCATCCCTCTGCCGCCCTGCAGGTGTGCAGCTACCGGTGCATCACATCCTACGAGAGCCGGCTGCTGGAAGAGTTCAGCTTATGCATCATCCAGAAGCATGTACGTTGCGTGGCACAGCATGTGTGATTGCGAGTGTTTTTGCAGACTGCTCCAAGACGGGGGTGGGTCTGGAGGCCGAGGCAGGAGGCCAGACCCCCAACAAGCGACGCTCACATGCTGCCTGCTGCAGAATTGCTTTGGCCTCTCGGCAGACATCCCCATGGTGAGATGCGCAGCATGGCCGTGCAACTTCGGCTCAATTCGAAATGCAGATGGAAAGCCCGTCAGCAGTGTCATGTACTGCAGTGCAGCACAATTGCGCTGCCTGCTCGTGAGGCCCACACCTCGCGGCATTCACCTGCCCCGCCTGCAGGTTCCCGACCCTGCCCCCATGACCTCCTGGGCCGGCCAGCCGCTGACACATGAGCTGGCGGAGGACATCTTCATCGGCTGGCTGGTGGGTGTCACAGGGCCGGGCTGGTGGACAGCTGGCTTGTTGTGGGCGGTGCTTGCAACTGGGTTTCCGCGCGAGGCGGCAGCAACGCACCGCCCTTGTGGGTGGCCCACCTGCAGGATGGAGACCCCTCCACCTCCCTGGACAAGCAGCGGCAAGGCGACACCAAGCCCTTCTCCTGGCGCGTGTTTGCTGGGTGAGGCGGGCAGCTGCCGGGGGCCATACACGCCAGGCTGCCTGGCTGCGCTGGGCGCCCGACTGCCACCCTGCTGGCTGCGCTGGGCGCCTGACTGCCGCCCTGCTGTTTCTGCCTTCACTGCAGCAAAAACGCTGCCTACGACTTCTTTCCGTGTCAATTTCAGCTTTTCTACAGAGGCAAAGGCCGGGGAGGCATGTGGTATGACCCAGCATTCCAGGTGCGGACCTGCGCTGCTCAGCTGCCCAAAACACCTGTGCAGGCTCGGATGTTGCACAGGCTGGCGTGCTTTCCATCCACATTCACCCCATCCCTGACACCCCGCCTTCCCTGGGGCAGGTCAAGACGGTGGATGGGCGTACGGTGTGGCGCCGCCGCCACTACCGCGTCAAGCGGGATCAGAAGCCAGGCACCTTCCGTTTCTCGGTACGCCCTGGGGCCTGCCTGGCGCTGTGATCATGTTGTGTGGGCTGCGCTGCCAATTGCAGCCGGGGTGAAGGTGCAAGAAGGGACCTTGGGCCTTGGCCGTGCGCCTTCTTTCCACCCCTGGCGGCCGTCTTTCCTCCCGTCCTGCAGGTGCTGGACAATGGGGTCACCAGCAACGAGTACTGGCGCATACTAGAGTGCGACGAGGCACTGGACTGGTGAGGCATCGGGTGCTGCCACACACGCCCCTGCCTGCGGCACATCATCCTTACGCCGCCGCTCTTCGCGGTGCATGCGCGCGTCCGGCAGCTGCCGCCCCCGCCCCTTCTGGCTGCTCATCATCGCTGCTGCTGCCTCTGGCCCCGCTGCAGGTGTGTGTTCTACTACAGCGGGGCAGCCTCGCGGGCGGGGCTGAGCTACAGCGGCGCCATCCTGGCCTCCAAGAGCGGCGACTGGCCGGCCTCGCAGGTGCGATCCTCCCTCGCAGCCAGCCGGCCAGCCCGTACCGTTGTGCCCGCGGCAACCAGCTGCAACCAATGCCACACGTGTGTGCCTGGCACGCCGCGGCTCGCACCCCGCTCCTGATGCGCGGCGCCCACTCTCCCGCCCGCCATTGGCCCCTGGCTGTGGTGCTGCAGGCGGCGAGGCAGCGCATCGAGGTGGCCCTGGATGCGGCGGGCATCAAGCCGTGGGAGCTCAGCAGTGTGGACAACTCCAACTGCGCGGGCGCGCCGCTGGACCCCGGCCTCATGGCGCTGGCCTGACCACCCCTCTGTCGCCTCGCCTCGCTGCGGGCAGCATACTGCAGCCAGCTGTGTCATCCGGCTCCACATCGCGCACAGCTCCTGCGTTCTGCTGCGCATCTGCGCTCTGCAATGATGCCAGCTGCTATTAGCAAATTTCCAGCTCCTCTCCCACAAACTTCTGCTATCTGTGCTACCAATAAGGCAACCCAATGGACGGAAAACCTCGGCATTATGCAGCAGCAGGGCGAGGGTGACTGCCAAAGCGAAAGAGGCACGACTAGGAGACGGCCCAGTGCATCCAGCATCCCGTCAGAGCAGCGCCTCCAGCTGCCGCAGCTCCTCCTGCCACCCCGCCAGCTTGCCCAGCTTGGCTCCCTCCTCTGCTGTCAGCGCCTGCCCGGCTGCCTGCTTTTCTGCCAGGGCTTCTGCCTGCCGCATCTTCTTCTTCAGGTTGCGAATCTGCTTCTCCACGCTGGGCTCCTCCGCTGCAGCTGGATCCGCTGCTGGAGCGGCGACCTGGGCCGCGCCACTGCTGCCGCCGTCGCCCAGGCTCAAGCTCTGCACCGCCGCGGCTGCGGCGTCGCCGGCACTGCCAGCGGCCACTGTGCCCTGTTCCGCCAGCTTCTTCTCCTTGCGCTTTGCGTTCTTGGCAGCAGACTTGGTCTTGGGCTTGGCGGGCGCTGCGGCTGCGGCACAGCCACAGGCGGCGCGCATGCGCATGGTGATGATGGTAAGGCAGCAGCAGGGGCATCTGGCGCTGGACGAGGCTCCTGTTGCAGGCCTTTCAAGAATGGCAGCATGCATCAGCTGCCGGGTGAGCCCACCTGCACTGGAATCGTCAAAGCCTGGGCACTTGGGCACGCTTTGCCGAAACTGCAGTGAAGAGGATGCAGACTTGAGCCGAGCGACAAAACTGGCAACTGCTTCCGGCTTCAGGCTGCCGAATTGGACGGTGGGCTGCGGGCGGCTGGTGGCACACCCGGTCCCCTTGCACTCACCGCTGCGCCCCGGCTCACGTAGACCTGCTGCTCGTCCTGGGGCACGTAGCCAGCTCTCACGCGCCGCTCCTTGCGGACGGTGCCATCGGGGCGCTTGCTCTGGGCGATGATCCGCTCGCCGGCTTCACTGACGGTGTAGTCGGGCGGCGGCAGGCCGGCGGACATGGTGGGAACGGCGGAAGCTGCGCTGCTATCGCTAGTCAGCCGGACGTGTCCCTGAGCCCTGGGCGTTGCTGTTAGCAGCAGACAGGCCAAAGCAGGGCAGGTGCGGCGAGGCTGGCCTGCCGACTCAATCCTGCGTTTCTGCTGTGGATGGGAATCGATTGCAGCGCAATCACTTGGCGATGAGCGATTCACGCTGCATGGGTTGAACAAGGGCGGTCAGGGAGGAAGGTCTGGAGCAGTTCATTGGGGAGCGCCTTGTCTGCCGCTCCCTTGCTCATTGCTTTGCGTCCCGGCAGCTTGTAGCGGCCAATCTGCACAGCCGCTGGAGGAGTTGTGTGATCGCGCGAGTTCTGTGCACTCCACCGTCCTGTCTCGTGCCTCTGCTCCCATGGCAGAGTTTAGGAAGCTGACAGTGCAGTTCGACAGCCCGAGCGGGGCCCGAATAGCTGACCCTCCGGGCTATGACCCTGCCGCCGCGCGGGAGCAGGTGCGCCGCCTCCCGTTGCCCGGTCTGCTGCCTGCAGGCAGCTCCTGTGACTCGTCTTGCTGGTACCTGCGCAGCCACACAGCAGTACAGCAGCGCCCCGTCCCCGCTGCCTACTCACCCGTCTCCTTCACTGCCCGCACACCTGCAGGGCGACGGCAGCGGCGGCGGCCGCGCTAAGCTGCCGCTGACGAAGCGGCAGGAGGCGCTGCAGGCGCAGGCATTTGCCCCCCTGAAGCAGGTGGCCATGCTGTGCTTCATGATGTGGATGTCGGGCTCCACCCTGCACCTCTTCTCCATCATGACCACCCTGTCGGGCATCTACCAGCCGCTGTCGGGTGCGCTGGGCGGATGGCGCTGGGCTGGGCCTGGGCTGGGCCTGCCGGTGCAGCGGGTCGGAGAGGGAAGCTTCAGCTTGGGGCTAGCGGTTGTTGGCGTGGCGTGGCGCAGCTCCGCGAGGGCTCGCTGGCGCCATGATTTGCAGCCCTGCTTGCTGTGAACCGACCTGCCGCTGCTTGTCCTGCCAGCAGGCGCCACCCTGCACGCCTGCCGTGCTGCCATCTCGCCTCGACCTGTTTTCTCTTCCGTGTGCCTGCTGCAGCCATCCTCAAGTCTAAGGACGCGTTCCCGGCAGACCCAGAGGGCGAGCTCAACACTGTGGTGCCGCGCATCACCTTCTGCCTGGTGCACAGCCTGGGCATCCTGTTTGCGGTGTGGAAGATCAATGGCATGGGCCTGCTGCCCACCCATCTGTCCGACTGGGTCTCCTCCATGCGCCCGCCCACCGTGCTGGAGCATGCCGTTGGCAGCCTGCTGCGGCAGCAGTGAGCGGGCCTGTGGCACCTGAGGCTCCGCTTCTGCCATACGGGCAGCGCATGCCATGTGTGCCAAGTGTAACTCAATGCGGGGCAGAGGGTACAGAAGCAACAGGCATTTGCGACAGGCCCAGGCACTTGATCGGCGGCACAGCTGCAAGCCCTAGCCCGCCAAAATCTGCCGCCGCCAGCTCACCAGGGTTTTCCTCCAACCCAAGCCTATCTGCAGCCCCATCGCCTGAAAGCGCATACCTTTGCCTGGCAGCGTCAGTGGCGACCTCCCTCGAGCGGCTACACCAAGACTTGGCAAGATGATGGCGGCGTCAATCTCCTGCTTTGTCGCCAAGCCGGCGCTTGCCCGCGCTGGGGCCACCAAGACTGGTCCGCGCAGGGCCCGCGTGCTGCCCGCCGCGAACCCCCGCAGGTGCTCAGGGGGTGGCGGCTGCGGCCTCCCGCTGCCGCTGTGAGCGCCCACAGTGTTCTGTGCCCTGCCTGCCCTGGCAGGTGGCTGGCATGAGCCTGGGCACCCACACCTGCCCCAGGCTGCTGCTTTGGGAACTTCTGGAGTGGCTGGCAGACGATTGGGCTCCCTGCCCTGTTTGGTTCCAAGGGCTCACAATCTGCCCTGCCGTCCTGCCTGCCTGTAGCAACGTGGTTGACGGCGAGAGTGCTGTGGAGTCGGGCGAGTGGGAGGCGGTGGAGTCGCTGGGCAGCCAGGACGATGTGCTGGCCTGGTACAACCACCAGCACGAGACCCGCAACACCCGGCTGCATGACGTGATGCAGGTGCAGCGCTGTGCAGGGTGCTTGGGGTGCGGCAGCCCTGCGAGGCCGCGCAGCTGGCGCAGGAGCCAAGCCGCCTGCAGCCGAGCCCTCACGCCGCTGCCGCTGGCCCTCCCTCCGGCGCCGCCGCCGCTGCTGCAGACCAACCTTGTGGTGACCAGCCCCGGGGCGAGCCTGGCCGAGGTGACGGCGCTGCTCGACGGCCCACCCTCCATTGAGGGGATGCCCGTGGTGGATGGCGACAACAAGGTGCGCTACCGCCAAGCCCGCCAACACACCTCACTCGCCCTCCCTCCCACACCTGCTCGCCATGCCGCCCCCTGCCCCCTCACTTCGAGCTCCCATGCCAGAGATGCTCACGCCTGCCTCCCGCGCTTCTGTGTGGGCCTGCTGCCGCCTGCCTGCAGCTGGTGGGCGTGGTGTCGCGCAAGGATCTGGCCAAGGGCGGGGCCCTGGTGCAGGACATCATGTCGTCCACACCCGTCTCCCTCAAGGCCTCTGGCAAGGTGGCGGATGCTGCCGAGATCATGATCAAGGTGCGGGGAGGGGCAGGGGAGGTGGGGAGGCAGGGAGTCCATCATCAGCGTGTGCGGGGCTCACCAGCCACACACATGTGCAAGCGCATTCGTGCGCACCTCACGGCGTCCGCCTACCCCGCTGCGTGCCGTGCCTGCAGCACAAGTTCCACCGCGTGCCGGTGGTGGACGACGACAACACGTGCGTGGGCATCGTCACCCGCTCCGACATCTTCTGGGCACTGGTGAGCAGGCGGCGGTGGCGGCGGCGGCCAGGGGCTGGAGCGCTGCTCCGGCGGTCCTGACCCTTTGGTGGGCAAGTGATGAGTGCTGACTGCTGGCTGTGCTGCCTGCAGACCCAGACTGACCAGGAGGGCGACACGCTGCTGACTGAGCACGGCCTGGATGTGTGAGCGAGCGCGTGCCTCAACCTGGGCATGCATGCCGTTGCGGCGGTTTGTGCCCCGCCACGTGTGCGGCCCCACAAGCCCCGATGATTGCGCCATTTCTTCGTGCCCAAGCGTGGCACCACATTTTTTTCAGAGCAATGGAACATGGCCCGCCGGCTGGCGTCGGGCTGGCGCCGACAGCCGAGCAAAGTGGGTGGGGCGTTTCTTTATATAATCTCATGAAAACTGATGCATCATGCGATCTTCTTCGCTATTTTCACCAGCTGCCCATTGGTTTGCGATTTCGAGCCTGCAAACAACGCACGACGAGAAGACTGCCCGATTCAACCTGGCCAGTATCATGGACCTGTGCCATTTTTTTCCTGTAACACCACTGAGGCGCTGCTGGTTGCATGGTTGTCGCTGAGATGCTCTTAAAGGGTGCAAGGTCGCAGTCCCTCGTGGCGCTTGCGCCCTGTACGCTTCGCCGCCGCCCGCCTGGCGATAGCCCTCAGATCTCCGCTTCCGTACGCTGCGACATCGGTTGGCAGCAACATCATTCAATCCTGAGGTTCCATCGTCCCTGCAAGCCCCTAAAAGCTGGAGTCCCCAGCATGTTGGTGTCGGCGTTCCAAAACTTCACCCTTCACCCTTCACCGAGTCCTGGCGCTCGGCGCATGTCGGCGCTGAGGCCAGCTCGGATGCTGCCTCCGGTGCGCGGGCTGAGCTCTTCTGTAGATTTCGGCGGCGAGCTACTTGAGGTGGTCACTTCGCTGGCCAGCTCTGACGACATATTGAGACACTTCAGTCATGACGAAGGGCCACACCACAGCAAGGCCAAGCGGCTGGGCCAGCTGATGCAGGTGCGCTTGGCGCTCCGCTCCGCTCTTCACCGCCTCTCACCGCCCGTGTGATCTGTGCCGTGCCGAATGGCTGAAAGCCTCAGATATCTGCCCCGCAGGTCAACGTGATCACCGCATCGCCCGACACGCCGCTCAAGGATGTGGAGGCGCGGCTGAAGGGCATCGAGGGGCTGCCCGTGGTGGATGCCGCTGGCAAGGTGCACCTGCTTGCATGCCGGCCGGCAGCAGCACGCAGCGCAGCTTGCTCTCCGTCGCAGCACAGCATGCTCTATCTGCGCAGCAGCAGGTAGCGGGTGGCAGCACGCAGCGCAGCATGCTCTACCTGCGCAGCAGCAGGTAGCGAGCGGCGGCGGCCTCGCCCTCCAGCTGCGCTTTTTCTCCTCCCCTTGCACAGTTGGTGGGCGTGCTTTCCAGGAAGGACCTGCAGAAAGGTGGCAGCGTGGTCCAGGACGTCATGTCTGCTCAGCCCATCGCGATGAAGGCCACCGACAGAGCGTCCGCCGCCGCGCACAGCATGATCGACGTAAGCGGAACTCTGGCTGGATGTTCGTCTCTTTGCGGGGTGGAGCTGCTGACTGGGCCTGCATGGTGCCCTTTTGCCTGCAGCACAAGATCCACCGCCTGCCCGTGGTGGACGACGAGGGCAAGTGTGTGGGTATCATCACCCGCACAGACATCTTTTGGGCGCTGGTGGGTGCCTGGCACATGCGGTCGGCACCAGAACTGCACTCCTGTGTCCTGCTGCGGTGTTGAGGAAGCAGCCAGGGTGGCGGGCAGTCTGCCTGCGCATAACCCTCGGCCCCACGCCGTGCCTACAGGCCAGTGATTCGGACAGAACAAATTGGTTTCATGAATATGGCATCAATGTTTGAGCATGGAGCGATTGCACCCTCGATTGTCCCCTCGAGAGATTCGGGCGCCCACCAAAATACAACGAGCGGAGCGAACCCTGCCATCCATGATTGATCTGATTACCAACCCAATGTTTGTCCAAGCATGATGGACCATCTTTCATTTGCCTTCATGCTCATGAAGATTGTATAAGAATTGACTGTGCACCTTCCTGCACCGTTTTCCCGAGCTCGTGCGGCCGTTGCCGATGCGCGCTTTGAGGGTCCCATTTTCTCCGCCTGTCTGATCTGATTGCGCGTATGCTGATATTCACAAATGTGAACGACACATGATGCTCAGGCGCACAGGGTGGGCCCACCCGGCCCGGCAAGTGTTTGTCCATGAGGGTAGCAAACGGCAGCAGGCGGCGGCGCCACCTGGCGGTCAACGCTCCCCCCGCCAATCAGCCGGGATAGCCCTGCTGCCTTCCGAACGTTTGCTCAGTTCTACCATGCAGTTGACACCCGCAAAAGGCAGAGTGGGCTCCCCCGGCCTGTCCCGCGTGGTGTTTACCTCCGACTTTCGTGCCTCGGACTACCTTATTCCCGCATCAGCGCAGATAGATAGCCCGAGCTCAGAGCAGCTGCAACTGGGCAAGGTTTGCGGCCTGCTGGGGGAGCAGGCAAGCATCCATGTCGGGTTCAGCAGCAAGCAGTGCGGGGCAGGACATTCAGAGGGGGAGGCAGACTCGCCACCATCTGCCAGCACCGCTAGCATTGACGGAGAGAGGCACTCGCCCACACGCCAGCGCCGCCGTTCCTTTGTGTGGGGCGCCGACCGCCGCTCCCCCGTCAGCAGCGCGGCAGGCGATTCCTGCTCCCTGGGCAGTGCTGCAGCAGGCTGCGTATCAGATGTCAGCATTGCTGCAAGCAGCACGACCCCAGAGTGCCTGCTGACAGACAGCCCCGCTGAGGCAGGCGGCGCAGCAGCGCTGCCCGTCGTAGCCGAGGACAGCTTTGCCACCCCCACCCAACACCTGCTCAACCACGGCGGCGGCGGCTCCTCTGCCGGCACCGCCCGCACAGGCACAGCGGGAGGTAGCCGAGGCGCGATCCTGCAGCAGCAGTTGGAGGTGCTGGAGGCCAGGTTGCTGGCAGAGGTGGAGGCCAAGCGGTGGCTGGAGCACCGCCTGGCCCAGCAGCGCACAGAAGCGGAGCAGCAGCGGCGGGAGCTGGGGGAGCAGTACGAGGAGCAGATGGCGGCGCTGCGCCGCGAGCTGCAGCAGGCGGCGGTCGATGGCGGCGCCGGCGCCGACGTCCTGAGCAGAAGGCTGCTGACAGGTGGGGACAGCTCGCCTGCCACATGACCACACATGCATGCCACGTAAGTGTTGGCCATGTGTGCAAAGGTGTTGGGTGGCTCCCATCACTTGACCATTGCCCTGCTGACTAGCTCCCCCCCACCCCATGCAGGCTCACAGCAGGTCACGCTGAGCGCCCAGGAACAGGAGGCGCTGCGGCGGCAGCTGGCCGACCAGGATCTGCTGATCCGTGCTTTCCAGGCCGAGAATGAGCTGGCCGTGGCCCGCATGAAGCAGCAGGCAGCAGAGTCGCAGCGCGCGGCGGCAGAGGCGGGGGCACAGATGGCGGAGCTTCAGCAGCGGCTGGCGCAGGCGCAGCAGGAGCGTGAGCGCCAGCCCCCCGGCACGCCTGCCGTGGACGCGGCCCGGCTGCAGGAGCTGCTGCGCCTGCAGGCAGAGCTGGATGGCGCACGGGCAGCGGCGGCGGAGCGCGAACGGGAGCTGCTGCAGCAGACGGAGCATCTGGGGCTGCAGCGGGAGAAGGCGCAGCAGATGGTCCGAGAGCTGCAGGTGGGCATTGGGGCAGTGGGGAGCAGGCTCTGCTATGCATGCTTCCCAGCCTTCCCTACAGGCCATGTTTGAGGCCCCATGCTTGCCCAAGGAGTTAATTGGGCTGCGCGTTTGCAGGCCGACAGCCTCCAGCAGCAAGAAGCGTGGCGGCAGCTTGCTGAGAGCGATGGCCTCGTGCGGCAGCAGGCGCAGGTCATAGCGCAGATGGAGCAGCAGCTGCTGAGCCAGGGTTCCAGCACAGCTGATGAGAGCAGCAGCCTGAGCCTGGCTGCAGGTTCCCTGCAGGCCGCTGTGCAGCGGCTGGAGGCCGAAAATGCCTCGCTGCGCCAAGCAGTGCACAGCCTGCACATGCGGCTGGCAGAGCAGGCGGGCGCCGCCCAGGAGGCTGCCGTCGGGGCCGGCAGCAGGAGGGGCGACTCTTCGGTGAATGAGTTGCAGAGCAAGGTGGCGCGCCTGCAGAGCGCACTCAGGCTGAAGGAGGAGCAGCACCAGCGCCAGCTGAGGAGCTTGCGGCAGGAGCACGAGAAGCTGAGGGTGCAGGAGGGCATCAAGTAAGAGGAGCAGTGCGCATGCACCCACAGGCTAGCAGCCGACGGCATGCCGGTGCCTGCGAGGCATGCCTGAAATCCTGCTGGAACTGTGTGTAGGGCTGCCAGCCGCTCTGGCGCTGCGCGTGTCAAAGAGCTGGAGGCACAGCTGGAGCGGGCACAAGAGGCTGCTGCCAGGAAAGTGCGCATCCTGGAGAGCCGCCTGAAGGTAGGCTAGCGGAGGTGCCTGCTCGACTTCACGCCACCTGTGCTGCCTGTTGCTGCCTCCGTGGCTGACCAAGAACCCCTGCATGCTGCAGGAGGCCAAAGCGCACGGCCGCAAGCCAGACTCAGCACCTGCAGGAGGAGGCAGCAGCAGCAGGGGCGTTGCCAGCGATGCACAGCCAGCAGGACGGCCCACTGGCGGCACCAGCCGCCCTGCAGGCAGGGCATCAGCAGCCCAGCAGGAGGCGCTGCAGGCGGCAACCACCCAGCTGCAGCAGAAGGAGCAGCGCATTCGGCGGCTGGAGAGCGAGGCGGTTAGAAAGGATGCTGAGCTGGCGGCGCTGGCCCGCCGTGCTGCGCTGGCTGACGAGCAGCTGAACGAGGCGGCCGAGCAGCAGCTGGCAACAGCTGGCGAGCTGGCTGCACTGCAGCAGGCCGTGGCAGAGGTGACCGCCGCCAACGACAGCCTGCAGGCGCAGGTCAAGCAGTTGCCTGCCCTGCGGCAGCAGCTGGCCGCAGAGGAGAAGGCGGTGCAAGAGCTGCGGCAGCAGGTGGAGCGCTTGAAAATCACCGAAGCTGTGCTTGCGTCTCTCCAGCAAGCGCAAGAGGAGGCTGCTCAGCAGGCGGCAAGCAGGGACGCGCAGCACGCGGCGGAGCTGCGGTGCTTGCAGCAGGAGCAGGCAGGGCTGCTGGAGCAGGCGAGGCAGGCAGGGCAGGAGGCGGCGGCAGCCGAGTGGCGGCCGCAGGTGGAGAAGGCGCAGCAGGCCGCAGGAGACTTGAGGGGCAATGTGGACAGGCTGCAGCAGGATCTGCGCAGCGCCAGGGCGGGGCTGCCCTGGACGCCCAGTGCGGCAGAGTATGCGGCGCTGGAGCGGCGGATGGTGGAGGCGGAGGAAGCGGCCAAGCGGCGGGAGGCAGGATGGCAGCGGGTGGCAGAGGACAGCAAGCGCGCCGCCGAGGCGCAGCACCACCGCCTGCAGGCGCAGCATGATGCTGCGTTGGCCGCCCGCGATCGGCAGGTGGACGGCTTTCGTCGGCAGGTAGATGGGGTCCTAGCCGCGGCCCGCCTGATGGCATCCAGCGCCAGGGAGAGAGAATCGCCCGGCGCAGCGTGATGGTTGGGACGACCAAACCTGTTTGTTCTCATCTACCCCTTCCTTCCTCTCTCCTCTCTCCTCTCTCTCTCTCTCTTCTGACTTCTGTCTTTTGCTCAAATTGGGGGAGTCGGGCAAATCATTCACTGGCAAAAAGGGGGGTCCTGTGTTCAAAAGGGGATTGGGCGCAACATGTCAAATCTAAGCAACATGCCACTGCCTGGGCGTGCCACTGCCATGGGGGATAAAGGTAAAGGTGGGGAAGAGCCTCCACAAGCTTCACTTCCCGGTTTTAACGTCTAGCTTTAGACCATTATTTGATCTGCCCGACGCGCCAAGTGCAGTACCCCCCACTAGTAGTGAATGGGTCCCGGGGAGGCCTGTGCCGAAGCCTTGGCGATTCTATTAGGCGTTCCCGAAGGAATTGGCTTGGATTGGCGCTGAGCCGGTCAGCTATGCCGCGTTTGTCCTCACAAAGTTTCGACATGGGAGGAATCGAACCTGTGCCCTCTCGGAGGGTTTAGACACTAGCTCCAGCGCCTTCAAAGAAGGCCTTTCTTAGCCGCGGCCTATTTAGGGATGCGCTGTGGAGGTTGGGTCTGCCTCGGATAGATGCGTCGCACCCGTGTGGCGGGCGGGGCGCTCAGCGGGTGGGGTTGGCGCCAGGCCTGGCCGCCTCATCGGCCCTGTGCTTGGCCTCCTTCATGGTCTCCTGGGTGCTGTGCTTGGCCTGGTCGATGCCCTCACCTGCACGAGGCGGGGGAACGTTCCAGACGGTAACAGACGGGGAGGGGAGAGGTGGGGAGCACGCAGGGGGACAGCAAGCACCTGGCCTTGGAAAGCAAAATGCATGGCGACAGGGCAGAAACAGGTCCAGGGCAGCAGGCGGGCAGGCAGGCAGGCAAGGCACCTGCGGCACCCCACCCACCCGCACGGTGCTGCATCTCGGTGGCCTTGCCCTTGGCCTGCAGGGGTGCGCAGCGCGGCGCTGATTCAGGGACAGGAGCTCAAAGGTGGCAGCTCAGGTGGCAGCGAGGAGATTGCTGGCGTGCATGATGTTCCCATGTGCTGCCGCCACTGCAGGGACCAGCCTCACCTGCTCCATCACAGAGCCGCCCTGCTCGCCGGCCTGCGCGCCCGTCTCCTGCGCGCCGCCCGCCATCTGCGGGTGGGGGGGCAGAGGCAAACCAGGTTGGGAGCACAGGCAAGGCAGGTTGGGCGCGCATGGCGCGCTGCGCTGCCGGGCAGCTGCTGCGTCAGCAAGTGCTGCTCACCTGCGCCGCCTTGTCCTTGGCGCCCTCCCACGCCTCGCCGGCCTTCTGGCCTGCCGCAGCCTGCAGGTGCAGGTGCACAGAGGTCACCGGGCTGACGCCATGCCTGCATGCTGCGCCCCTCAGTCCGCAGCCCCGATTGCACGGCACCGGCTGGCTGCGGCCGCAGGGCTCACCATGGTGTCCGAGATGCGCTCAGTGATGGGCTTCTGCTGCTCGGCCATGGGTGCTTCTGGTGGTGGTTGGGTGGGTGGAGGACCTGCAGCAAGGTGGGCGTCATGAGAAGCCTCTAGAAGGCTAGCGGCAGCCAGCGCTCTGCGACACCGGCGCTGCCTCGCCGGCGAGGCGTGGCAGCAGTTGCCTGCGGCATGCTGTCCCTGGACGTATGCATGGCAAGGGTCTGGTGCTGCTGGGAGGCCTGAGGAGGCAGGTGTGTGGCTCGAGCAGCAGGCCCAGCTACGCCCTGCACACACAGCTGCCCTGCGCACCTGAGAAGCCTTGGATGGTTGAGGAGGGGTCGTGGGCAGAGGAGAGCGAGCTGGAAATGCAGAAGCAGCGGAGCACAGGCCACCTAAGGCGCTATCCTTGTGGAGTCCTTTCCAAAAGGAGGATTCCAGCTACTCGACAACTCCGGAACTGCAGGCTGCAGTAGCTGAAGCACACAAGCAGCCATGGCGGGCCTGGGCGGCGCAGGCAGCGCCGACATCACGCTCTACTCCGCCGGCACGCCCAATGGTGAGCCTGCACCGTGTGACAGGCAGTGAATTGTATCTGGGGCTCGGTTCGGCATGCTAGAGGACCACGAGGACTTCCAGAGGTGTTAGGGTTCTCGCCGCCACGACCCGCAGGCGGCGGCGCCAAAGCTGGCGCTGCCCCGGCACCCCTTTCCGCTGCCCCGCCCACCCCTTTCCCCTTGGCCCCGCGACCTGCGCAGGATGGAAGGCCAGCATCTGCCTGGAGGAGCTGGAGCTGCAGGTTGGGAGCGGGAGTGGATACAGGCTGCACGCAGAGCTGGAAGTCTTGTTGGCAGCAAAGTGCCCGGTCGGCCTCCCCCCTGTCGGCCCCGCCATCGCAGGTGCCTCCAGGCCAGCCGCCCTTCCTGCCTGGAAGAAGGCGGGGCACCCAACCAACTGGGGGGCAGGGAAGCAGGCAAGTCGAAGGAACATGCCAGCATGTGTGGCAGTGTCACAACTCGCAGTGGGTGCCAACTCCGTCCGCTCACGGTCATGATGTGTTGGTGCCGCCCGCCTGCAGAAGGAGGACTGGTACCTTGCGATCAACCCCAACGGACGCATCCCTGCCATAGGTAGGCTGTGACAATGGAGGATGGAGAAGCGGCCGGATGGGCTGCATGCTGCTCCATCACGGCCCGCCAGCCGGCTGGCCACCTGCCTCGCTCCCCTCCCCCTCTGCAGTGGACCACCGCGGCGGGGACCTGCCGGTGTTTGAGTCGGGCGCGGTACTGCTGCACCTGGCTGAGCAGGACCCGCAGCACCGCCTGCTGCCCGCCGACAAGGCGGGGCGGGCCGAGGTGCTGAGCTGGCTGTTCTGGCAGGTGGTGAGTCAGCAGCAAGCGGAAGCGGAAATGGAGGAGGCAGTAATGACCACAATGAGGGTGGCCCGGCACAGCCTGCCGCCTAGCGATGACCAGTGGTACTCTTCAGCCTGCGTCACAGTCGAGCAGCATCCGTGTCTGGGGCCCTGCAAGCACCTCCCCTGGCTGCAGGGCGGGCTGGGTCCCATGGCTGGCCAAGCCGACTGGTTTCTGGTGTATGCCCCCGAGCGAAGCGAGCTGGCCATCAGCCGCTACGTGAACGAGGTGCAGCGCCTGTTCAGGTGGGAGGGTGGGTTGTGGATGCCTGCCTGGGCCCCGGGATGTGGGTGTCGCTGTCTTGGGGGCAGCGCTCACTCGGTGTTTCGGTCTTGGCATATGCATCGCATCGCAGCAGGCGTGCTTCAAAGCCTTAAGGCAGCCCGCTGCACCTCACAGCCCAGCACTGTTCCCCTGCCCCTGCCCCTGCCCCGCCCCGCAGCGTGATGGAGAAGCGCCTGGAGGGGCAGGAGTGGCTGGCGGCTGGCCAGTTCAGCATTGCAGACGTGGCGGCCTTCCCCTGGGTGCTGCTGCACGACCTGTGGGGCATCTCCCTGGCTGCATTCTACCCCAATCTGCGCCGCTGGGTCGACGCCATCAAGGCCCGCCCCACCGTGCAGCGCGGGCTGAATGTGCCCGAGACAAACATGGTGCTGGGTCACACAGGCGCGTTCTGCTGGGGTCGCCAAAAGGGCCCCGTCGCTGGGACCGACTTGCATGCTTGTTACTGCCATGCAGGGTACTGGCAGCACATGCTGGAGCGGGCCAAGAAGGGGCTGGAGGGTGTCAAGCCCTTCCCGGAGCCAGAGGAGTGACGGCTGAGAAGGCAGGAGGTTGAGCCCTTTGGTTTTTAGCAGAAGTAGCGCCTAGGCTCTGCCAAGCACGGATGTTGTTTGCCTGCTGATGTTCTGCTGCGCACAGCATGCAAGCGTGTGCGTGTGGCTGCGCCGCCGCCGCCGCCGCCGCGGTGGGCTTCGCACCACCAATTTCCCTTCCCTTTTCCTCCCCCTCCCCCCCTCCCCGCTCCCCTTTTATGGAAGCGACCTGCCGGCCGCTCCGCCCCTCTCACAGAGCGATTTACCGTGCCAGGGTGGTTTCCACCACCCGACTACCTTCTGGGAACTGGCTGGACGTGCATGACCGTAAGGACGCTCCAGGGCATTGCAAACCTCTCCTCCTGCAGCTCCATTCCCGCTGTGACTAACTGGAAGCTCCAGACCCGCAGACATGCGCGGGACGCGGGCAGGTCGCGCTGCCCTAGCCATCGCTGCGCTGCTGCTCCTCTCCCGTGGCCCCCACCCGTGCTGCGCAGTAGAGACGGTCGATCCCTGCACTGGTGAGCACGAGGGGGAAGCCACTGCCGTGGCGTACCACCAGTTCACGCTGGAGTTATTCATGGCGCTTTTCCTGTGGCAGGATTGTGGGTCACATAGTGTGTGTGAGCCATGGCTCGGCAGCTACCGGTGCTGCAGTTGTTCCTTGCCGTGACCACCGCTTCTGCTGTGCTCATTTCACCTTGCAGCGACTGCATGCTCTGCATTCGAGCTGAATGAGCCCGAGGAGCCTGAGAGCAGTGTGATGGGAGGTGCGAGCTCCAGTGGCGGTAACGACGGCGGTGGCAGCGGTGGCGGAGAATGGCACTGGCTGAGGACAAGGCCGCAGACATGTTCCTGCATCTCTTCTTGCATTGCAGGAGTTGCTTGTTGCTTGTTGGAGTGCTTGGAGTGTTGAGCGGCCTCCTTGGTTTGGCATCTTCTGCCGTCCCTCAGGCAAAAACTGCATGGAAGGTGGGGCTGGGCGTTGTCACAGGCATCTCCAATAATGTGTTAGGCTACTACAAGTGAGTGGGGCGGCAACATCGATATGGCTGACATCACAAGCCCCGCGCTGCCGCAGCTGACCCATTGTTTGCTCTACCTGCAGTGATCCCATTATGGCATCCAAGTATGTGCAGTATAACTTGCAGAAGGTATTTGCCTGGATTCAATCGTGCACGCAACGCATGCGAGCAGCGGCCGTCCGAGCTGACTTGTTGCCCATGCATGCCGCCCTTCAATGAGTGCAGGACTTGAAGCAACTGCAGGACTGGCTCGCTTGCAAGCTCAATGCGATGACTCGGGAGCTGCTGTGAGCAGGGTGCCGGCACCGGGCTGCCAGGATTTGTTGGCTGCAGCTGGGGCTGGGGCGAGGGGAGGTGGTGGCATGCTGAGTTCAGCTGCGTTTTCTGTGGCCCTGCAGGTACACGACCAGCCAGATGCTGAATGAGAGGGACCTGGGTGCGCCTCGCCGCCCCTGAGCAACATGAGCACTTCGTTCCCCTCATGCAAGGTGCCTGCTCAGTGTGCCGTTGGACCTGTGGCTCACCTCATTTGTCGATTGCGCTGCAGCGGCCTTCAACCAAGCCATGCAGAGCATCCAGTCGCAGGTAGGCTTCCAGCATGGCGGCAAGAGCCAGTGCGGCGCGCTTGCGGCTCATTGGCTGACCTGCGGCGCCCCCACCCCCACCCCGGTGCCCGCCCTAAACGCAGATTCTTGAGACATGCGGCAACCAAAACTGCGTGGCAGTCAGCTTCAAGAAGCCCAGCCAGCGCAGTGTCTCGGATGCTGGGCCCACCTTCTGTGCAAACCCCGTTCAGCAGGATGCTGCATGCATTGGCTCTACTTGGAACTTCACCTCGCCAAGTGAGCGCCGGGGGCACTTGGCATGCCGCCGAGGCATGCTGCTGGAAGGCGCGGGAGTGGCAGGCCGCGTGTGCACGCGCCACTTGTATCATGCAATGCCGTGGCCCACTCCATGCAGCGCGTTGTTCTATCAATGGTCAGGCAAACGCTGGCCTCTGCGACCCAGATGGGTGAGCTGCACCTTATGGTGTCCTCCTGCAGTCTGTTTGTCTTCTGCCGTTGTCTGTTTCTACCGTCCCTTTGTGGTCATGCTCGACTGATTCAGGTCCTCCAAGTTGTAACCCCCATCATTGCTCGCAGGTTTTGTTACGACGTCTTAGACCATGCAGAGTGGGCTGCCAGCATGAAGGTGAGGATCGCCCCTCCCTCTCCCTGTTTGTGTACGGTGCCTTCATCTTTTCCAGTTGCAACACCAGCTGGGCCCGTAGCATTCATTTGTCCTTATGGATGTACAGACAGACAGACAGCGGGGTGGGGCATATGTTACCAGCAGCAGGGCCGATGGAGGGCACATCCAATCCCACCCCGCCTGTCCTGGGTTGTGTCGGCGCTGCAGACCATTCTGCCCCTGTTTTTGGTGGACTCTGTGAAGAACTTCAACGTGTTTGACAACTACATGAGTGCCGACGCAACTGTCGCAATTGCCAGGGGTGAGACTACCAGCAAGCGGCTCCGATCTTGCCCACGCGCCTGCGTTCCCTGTGGCCTGCGTGCTTTAGACTGAAATCCCTGAGCAAAGCAGAGCAAACATTTGTGCCAGCTTTGCCCTGATCCACCTCTGCAGGCGCCCTCCTGAAGATTGCGGTGCTGCAGGTGAGGCCCCCCAGGCCCAGCTGGCTGCTCACAAGGCACAGCGCACTGTCGGCTGCTGTCTTCTGTCATTTCCCGTGTAGCAGGAAAAAACAAAGAAACGGTTTGTGCACACCATGGCCCAGGACCCCACCCTGCTTGCCTGCCCTGCCCCACCCGCAGAACCTGGTCATGGCGGGTGTGGTGGACCAGGACTACGCCACGCAGCTCAAGACATTCGCGCAGGCCATCGCCACCAAGCTGCAGGCCCGCGTCAATTACCACCTGGACCGCAAACGCATGCTGCAGGTGGGGCGCTGCTGCTGCTGCTGCCTGCCCACATGTGCCTGCCCACATGCGCCTGCCCACATGTGCCTGCCCACATGTGCCTGCCCCTGCCCTGGCACTCCATCTTTTTTCCTAACAGAAAACACGCTCTGGCCGGACAGTGGTGGACTACTGAGCCGCCCCCGCATGCAGCCTCCGCTCGCTCGTGCTCCTGCCTGCTCCAGCCCGGCGGCCGGATGCCTGTGCCTGCCAGGTCAGTGAGCAGCGCTTGTGGCCCTCTTGGGGCAGCCCAGGCGGTCTGGACCCAGCGGCACCGTCCTGCTGCCCCAGCTGGATGCCTGCTCGGCTTCCCTGCTGCCGCGCAGGTGGTGCGTAACTTCAGCTTCCCGACCAACGCGACGTACAAGACCAAAGAGGCCATGGATCTGCTCAACTACCCCCCAGATGGCACATCCTTGTGAGACGGGCCCCGGCTGCAGCTGCAGCCGCCTGCCTGTTGTGCAGCGGGGCAATACCGGGCGGACATGGTTCCATCAGGTGTTGGGCTTGACCCCACCAGACCTCCCACAGTGTCCCTACCTGCGCCCCTGTCGGTTGGTCTGCTTGTTTAACATGACTGGCACTACAATACGTCCATGAGGGGCGAGTGCATGCTTCAAGCCTCTTTGGTGCTACGCTGCACGCCTGCCCCTCCCCAACCCACCTGGCGCAGCGACGACGAGACATATGGCTGTCGGGTTGGGCAGCTCTACGATTTGTCCAAAGGTGTTTACAAGCAAGCCATCTACATCTACCCCACCGACATCCCTGACGACCCTATGCTCAACCCCAATCTTTATACAGTCACCATGAACCAAAAGGTGGCGTCGTGAGCATCGCCTTCAGGCCAGGAGCCGAGTCGCATGAAACCGCCTCCGTCCCAAGTTTGCTCTGCGCCTGCTGGCTGGCTGGGCATCTGGTGCCGACTGCCACCCCATTCAAATGTGTGCCCCGCATGGGCCCCTGCAGGTGCGCTGGTCATGCCGCAAGGACGAGTCTGGGGAGTTCGTGGACCAAACCTGGGTGGAGCATGTGTGCCGCCCTCCAGAGAACACGTGCAAGGCCCCCGCGCTCATCAATGCACCCACCAGCGATTACTTCCGGTGCAGGCAAGCCAGCAGGGGCCCGCACATGGGGCATGCTGCGGCAGCGGTGGCTCTCAACCTCTCCTCCCTATCCCAGGGCCGCCCCTCCCGGCCTAACAGCAGGCCCAGCCCGCACCCAGCCACTGCCCATCATGTTGCTGTCCCACGCTTGCACCTTGCAGCGAGAGCGGCCTCCACCACTGCGGTCAGTGGACCGAGCCTTTCACCGGTTACAGCGACGATAAGATGTGTCAGGGCGCAAGGGAACGCCGCATCTACGACAGCAGCAACGTGAGGCATTGGGGTGTTGAGGGCGAGTTGGGGGCGGTGGCCTGCCCAATGTGTGGGCTGCCCATGCTTGCTTGTGTGGGCTTACAGTCTGGTTTCAGCAAGAACAAGCTTGCAGCACAGACTTTGTTGTTCGAGCAAGGAGGGATGAAGCAGTAGAACAACAGGCAGGACAGGCCAACTGACAGGTCACCGAGCGTTTAGTGTGTGAGCGGGCAGGCAGTACTGCATGTCGTGGAGCAGGTGTGGTGCGGTAAGAGCAAAGGGGGTGGACATGAGAGTGGGGGTTCAGGGCGGGACTGCAGGCAGCGCAACGGTGGCGGTCAGCCAGCGCTGGTGACAGGCGGCAGCAAAGGCGGCGAGGCGGCACGGTTTCTGGCGGAGGAAGCGGTGGGGAGGATGGGGCTCAGCAAACAGGTCAGGAAAGTTGAGGCGCAGCGGGGCGTAAAGGGGGCAGGTGAGCAGCATGTGGGGGGCATCTTCAATGCCGTCGTGGCAGTGGGGGCAGACTCGCTGCTCTCGGGGGCGCCGCGTCCAGCGGCCGGTCTCTTCCGCGCCCCAA